TTAAGCTGATTCAAAGCTATTGATAGGATTGATAGGAATTTGACAATTTTATTTTAGTTTTTTTTTTTTTTACTCTAATTGTTGATAAAATATTTTTATTTTAGTAAAAAATATGTAGGTAATACAAAGTTTCTTTCAAGCGGTTCTTACACACATTTAAAAATATTGAAAATACACATGCACAATTCTTTTCGTATAAATTGTAGTTAATTTTTTCAATTAATATAATATTTAAACGGAAAATAACGAATTCAGTAATTTTATTGTAATAAAAAAATATTTTTCGTAGAAAATACAAATTTTTCGTTATTGTGACATATATTATTATTTTCTATATACATTACCATAATATTTTTAATAGCTTAAAGATTGACGTTAAGCTGCTCTACCCGCCAATCATGAATCAATTCATACTGTTTAACGGTATTCAATTATAATTTTTAAGTTAAAATAATAGTTAATATCTTTAATAAATTAGTTTAACTCATATTATAGGTACTAATAAACAATAGTAATTAGTATTATAAATAAATTATAAAATATCTTTAAGCACTGTATCCGATCAGAATCGTTTATTTTAGCTATAATTTAAATATTTTTAATGATTTTCATGAATAATTGTACGTATACGTTACTACATTAGTTACCTATAAAGTACTTAATAACGAGGTATATTTCGAAATACAGCAAGGTGATATTCCTAGTTTTTTTTTTTGTTTAAATCATAAATTTGTTTTAAATTATATGAAAACTTGTTTTTACTTTTTAATTTGTATACCGCAGCTTAGAGTCTAAGCCTTAGATGCTTAGAATATAAATTACTTGCTAGACAAATTTTTGGAATATCTCTAAATGGATATGATATATCAATAAATAATAATATATACATTTAATGTTATAGTCACAAAATTAATTTTAATAACTAGTTTGTTGTGACTACTGACTTATGGTTTTATTTAATACATATGTGTGAACTGTTTAAATTTGTCTACTACTAACTGTATGTTCATTTAAATAGGATGGACACGAACACACGGTACGAGTTCTATTGTTTAACACGACACCAATAACATTAATTCGGTGGTTCCTCCTTTCGACAAACATTTTTCATGTTTGTCATTATAAATTAAGGGTGGCTACTATTATGTCATTGTTGTCATGTAAAACAATAATAGATGTATAATTATATGAATAATTGCACCTTTAAGTGTAGGTTCTTGTACCAACTATCTACCTGTATAGGTATTAGTGACTCGAACCTAATGAGCATAAAGATTCATTCATATGCGTCTATGTGTATATTTTTTATACAAATACAAAAATTAAAAATTTAGTAGTAGGTATACACGAATTATTGTGATGTTACCAGTCTACCATAGATATATCTCTTAAAATCTTCAAATATTAGTTATATTTTTTTGTATTATTGTTAAATGAATATATAATTAATTATAAAAAAATAAATAAATATTCTTTATAATATGGTGGTTCAGCAATGTCTATTTGAATGTACACTTTTAAAAATACAATTTAAAAATTTTTTATTGAAAACATGTGGTGTCGAAAATTTGGGATTTCCTAAAAGAAATATCATGTGCAAATTTTAATTACCTATATTATCTAATTACGACTTAACGACTATACACTGGATTATTTTTATTTACAATTTAATTGTGAGGTTAAATTTAATAAATATTCGATTAAATTTAAGTAGATCCGTTAGCTAACGACGTAAAACGCAATTGGCAACAATAAACTAGCTTCTTGTTTATAATTGGGTTCGCGAAACCACGCCGTTTATTATAATTATCGGCACTTTGTTATTCAATTACTAATTTTTTTAATTTAAAAATAATCAAATCGTGTACGGGAACCAATTTATGCGATTTGCGATAACGTTTACTACCGATACATTGCTGTACTTGCACAGTTACACGGAAATAATATAATAGTATAGGTTATAGGTACATTATATTATATTATACGTATCGCAATATGTTTAGTACTCGTTAGTCGTTTAGTATAGAAAGGTATACTAATTATTTTTATAACTATAAACTATTTTTTAAATCGTGTTGTAAATATATATGCAAATAAGTTTTTGTACGCACGTTATCAGACATCATCATTATTGTACACGACCTTGTAATTAAGAAATGTGATATTGTTTTAAAACAACGGTGCCAATAACAAATCAAATGTTATGATTTACTATATTTCGACGTATTTAACTATATACATTATTACTTTATACATACGTTGAAAAATAACGCGATCACATGCATTTCTCGAAATAAACAATTATATATTTTGTAATAATATATGTATATACATATTATATTATATTATAAAAAATGCAAACGTTGATAATTTCCACTAACCAAGTCAGCGGTTTCGGGGAAAGAATTGTATAAGTGTATGATCTCCCCTAACATTTATAAAAGCTCCTTTAAAATGTTTTTTAAAATACACTAATCACATTTTTATTTTTAAATTTACAACACCTACAAACATAATGTATATATAGTATAAAATATTTAATAATATCATACTGTCTAGTTCTTTCTCTTCGGCATTCATCTATAAATTATAAATTATAATATTATGTTAAAATATAGTTTACTATAGTAAGTGCCTATTGTAATATGGTATGGTTTCTGAAAGGTTTCCTCGATATATTTTTTTTTCTCGGCGATTTCGTTAACATCGAGCTTATTATGTATTCGTATATAATAATAATAATAATAATAATAATAAAAGCAATAGAATAATATAGCGAACCGGAGTACCGGACGTCCTATTTTTTTCGTCGTCTCGTCACCGTCCCGCCGTCGCCGCCGGAGACAAGTGTGCGTGTGCAATGTGCATGTGATGGATAGCAGAGGCGTACGCGCGGCAAGCGATAATTAATGAGACCCGTCCGCGCCGCCGCAGCGTGAAAACGATACGCGGCCCTTTTGTCGGACCAACAGAAAATAACGCGTGATGAGAGACAGACACGGACACGGACGGGGAGACTTGTTGACCGATCGTCCACCGAGACGAGTGAGCATACGTATAAAACATACGTGGGTATTATTATTATTATTATTATGTGTCTACACAGATACAGGTATATAGATGACGAAGACGATATACGAGTAAAGTATATATATATATATATATGTACGGTCGGAAACAATAATTTCCGAATATTTTAACACGAACTCTTGTGTATACATAATACATGTGTATACGTGTATTAATATATTATTATTATTATATACGTAAATACTCGTCGTCGTCGGCCGTCGTTCTCAAAACGTTTTATTTACTGTTTGCTCGGCGCAAACATATTTCTATCTCTTTTCGAACCTCCTAAACGAGACGATTTTACCGGAAAGTCCCTTTGCCGCAGACGGACGCGGCGGACGGTTTATTTTTTTTGTTTGTACGGATTTTATATAGGTATTATTATTATTATTATTATTGTATGCACTATGCTGCACACCGCCGTCATCATCGCGGCAGTTGTGTCGTTCACACGGTCACCCGGCGCGCGCTCGCTCGTATACGCATACCGATATTATATATAATAATATGTACTTATGTATATACTATACAATACATCATATACATTATTATACGTGTTCCGCGTTTATGACACGACGTTAGGTTTTCTCACACGCTCGTTTAGAAATTCGGCTAAACAAACTACCCGGGCTAAATGACTACAGCATAGTCGTCGAAGATACCTCTCCACATACATGTATCTATTTGTAAATAATATTTATATGGACTTTTCGAGTGAGCGGAAAAAAAATTATTTCAAATATGTACATTATGTTTTTCTCATCACACACACACACACACACACACACACACATATAATGCAGTGTCTTATTATAATGTTGGAGTGTTTTTTTACCCGAATGACGGTATTCTTCTTAACGACTGAATGTTAAATAGACTAATGACCCCTTGTATAAAATGTTGATATTTTATTTTCTACAACATATAATGTGTAAAAAAAAAAATAACTAAATTAAACTTAAAAAAAATCTAAAACTCGTTTTATTAAAAATTTTACTTACTAATAGTTATATATTATGATATAGTTAGATAAAGTGATTTTTATTGTAAAAAAAAAAAAAAAATATAAATTTAAATTATAAACAATAATAACTATTTTATATTATTTTCAATGATTCTTTATAAAAGACAGCTCGAAATTTAGATAACAGGACAACCCCCATACCTCGTGGCTCACATAGTCACATAATGACATTTTATAATACGTAAGTACTTATGTTGTATTTTTATAATTTGTGACAATCACTCTCGTCTCTCACTATTAGTAAACCAACTTTTAAAATTTGAACATCACGATTAATTAAGTATTTTAATTATAATGTAGAAATATAAAGTCAGAAGTGTAATGTATATTAACAATTATTGTTATTCTATATTTCTATGGTATAGACGTATAGTTATACTGTATAATTACTAAATTAATTATTTTAATATAAATTATTACAATTTAGCTAATACGAAATGATAACCTACGTGTTACTATGGGTTATAATAAAATTATTATAACCTAATATTACTAACACATTTTCAACCGATATAGACCGTTATGCCTATTATTAATTAAACAGACTGTGAGACGTTGAAATTCGCATGCTTTTATTTATGCGTATAAACGTATGACGCATTTCAAATATTTAATAACGGTTGAATCGATTAAAAATTCGAAAATTATGCACAAAGCAAATCAGTATACAAAATTATTGTACAGCGATTTCATTTCGAATAACGCACACGTGTACCTGACGTCCTGACATACCTATTAATATATGTACATATCGCATAGGACTTACGTATAATATTGCTGGTACATAGTACATACATACAGTTTGCAGCAGTACGTTAACAAATTAAAAAACGTAAGCAGTAGGAGCCTTGATAGGTATAATAATATTAACTATATTTCAAATACATTGTGATCTTGAACTCACCTGATTTACAAGAGCAATGAATGTACCGACGATTGTAATTGACCCAATCGAATCCCGCTTCCACGGCCAGTCGGGCCAACATGCCATACTTGGACTTATCCCTGTCTGACGTGGTGATGTCTACCGCCCGCCCCTCGTTGTGCAGGCTGCTACCGGCCCGGTCCACCCATCCGTCAATCACCCGCAGTCGAACGTTCGGCCACAAGTTCATCACGCTGATGGCTAAGGTGTTGAGCTTTTCTTTACACCTCTGAAAACGAAACAAAATTTATAAGAATGACATGCCAAGTGCATCACGTGATATATTATATAATATAGTTTATCCCTTAAAAGTACGACGAAACGCTTAAAAAATGGGTTTTCGATTTGCAGCTATAGGCTCTACATTATGGAATTATAATATATAATATTATGTGCACGCAACATTCTCGAAACGCATCTGTGCACTGTGTCACTTGGACATTAATTAAACGTTTCCCGTGTTCAAAACGTAGAAGTTGGCGCGACAAATACGGGTAAAACAACGACGGTCGCTGCAGTATAATATAATATGTTACGACCGAAAACGCAGCGCCGCGTGTCGTCGTAATAATTTCCCACAAGAATGCAGGGCAGAGAGACTGGAGGCAGGTTTTTTGACTAAGTACCGTGTACATTATGTATACCTATACATGCGTGGTATTATATATATTATGTAATATATTATACACCATTTTCACACCGCGGCGTAACAATCGCCAACGACCCGACGACCATAGTTTTTTTTTTTTTTTTTTTTCGTTGTTAATGACGACGACGGCGGCGGTGGCGACTCGTCGCTACTTTCCGGCAACCAGTTAAACGGAATTATGCGCGCGAGTTAGTTATTGGACGACTATCGCATTCTGGTTATGCCTGTTATTTTAAGCGCGCGCGCCAGGCCATCGATATACCTGACTACTTATGCACACGTCCGCCGGATCTTCTAGGAATCGTTATTTAAGATAACTGACGACAAATTAGCCCGCCGCCAGCACCACCGCCGAGCCTCGCGCCGCATGAAAAATTGCACTCGTTATTTGGTCGTAACCGTTTACCGAGAAATCGCCACGTGTATATTATTATTATTATTATTATTATTGTGTCGGATTGTTTATAAATATTACGCGCGTTATGATTTCATTATACGAGCTTATATTTTTTTCCCTATACGCCGAAATGTACCACATAGACAAGATTTATGGTACACCGCAACAACAGATCTAAATTCGAAAAACGTACAAGTCATGAATCAGTATATTTTTTTTTTTAACAGCGCTTAAACAATGATTTTGTTTACGTTAAATTTGCTTATTATTGTTATTTTTTTAATCGATTTATAACAAGTCGTCTGATAACGATTAACTATAACATTGTGATAGGTGCGTATTATATACATCAATATAATATTGTGTTTAAATTTGAATTATTGCTAATTTCAATCACAAAGATCTGTGTAATCTATACTGTAAAATTTAATACGTATAGGTAGGTATATAGAGACAAATTTTAATAATAAATGTACGAACTTTTTTTCTTTTTTTTTTTATCAATTGATGTTGTTTCCACGATGCAAAAACATTATAATTTACAATATTTTACCGTACAAGTGATTAAAATTAAAAAATATAAAAATATTTGTTCCATTCAGTAAATCAAATATCTACATTTATAGATTTTTTTTTCAATTTGGAGTTTATTCAACTTATATATTATGTAATATAATAAGAACATATTGTTTACATGTACGCGGGGCGAATATTATAATGTAATAGACGCCATCATCCGTGAGTAATACTCAAACTTGATTATTGGGTACCTCTACAACGTCAATCGCCATACGTTGCCTTAGATCACTATAGGTATATATCGAACATAATATATTAGTGAAGTGAGATATGTTGAACAAAACTGTTAGAAAATAGCTCTGTAACACGCATATACGTAGGTACTAAGTGTGACGATGGTGACTACCAGGAGTTTAAAACACGCTAAACGACCGTTTAAGCCTGTATTCGTGATATGAGGTAGGTATACATCATTGACTGGCAGGTCAGGGGTACCTATATGCAACACCGCGGTTCGACGTCGCGATGTCCAACGCCATGGACGGGCGAAGTGTAGTCGGACTTTCACCCCCCTCCCCAAAAGCTAGTTTTCCGCAGACGCGCGTGCTTGCGCCTAACTATGCATAGCATCCGTACGCCCCCCGGTCGCTGACGACGCCGCTCTCGAGGCGGTGCGGCGAAACAACACATACACGGCACAGTCGCGCGGAAAACAAAAGATGAGACACCGGCGCTACACGGGGGTGCCGAGGTGGCACCGTTGGGCGGGGCCATGTGATCACCGCGGGCGAAACGTGTATGTGGTGTTGGTACTGCGGCGGCGGCGGCGAGGTCAAAAGCGGCAGAGAGAAAACCAAGAATGTCGTGTCCGCCTCGCCGCCGCGTTGTATATATAGTCGGGCGCGCGCGCAATGAAACGGGGCTGTGTATAAATAATATTGTGTATTATATATTATATTATATACATATAGGTATACGCGGCGATATATATTGCGTTAGGTAGGTATATAATATGTATACAAGAAAAATATAATACGAGAGCGGTCCGTATTATTACATATTACATATAAATAATATATATATATATATATTATTATTATATTAATATAATATAATATCATATATATACCTATAAAGAAAACGAGAATGAAAATAATACGACGACGGCCGCGGCGGAAACGTCGGAGAAGGGGAAAAACTGAATTCGCCGTCGCCGCCGCCGCGGCAGTTGACTTGGTGAATGCGTTACGGTGCACGTTGGTATTTCCCTCTGCCCGGCCCCTCCACCTCCCCGCCCACGCTTAATATACCCAATTGCCGACCCGACAAGCGGCCATTTTGTTCGGTGCGGCCTGCATTCCGAAAAGCATTGTCTTAAATAATAATGAACGTAAGCACCGCGGGGTGAGCGGCGGCGGCGGACGAGTAGGTATAATATTATATATTATATATAGGTAGGTTCGAGATTATGATCTACCCGATGAGCGCGTACACACATCGTAGTGCGTAATACAATATAATAATCATAATATATATTTAATATTATGTACGTGCGGTGCGCATATATCATATCCGTCGGATGACGACGGCGACGGCGACGACCAACCATCGCGGGACCCTGTACAGGTACACTAAAAGAGCGGCTGCCGAGCGGGCCACCCGGGCGACGGGGGGGTGCCGGTGTTGGCGTGTCCTTTGTGGGGACGGCGGCAGGCGCCTCGCGCGGTTTATTTTGACAAGCAATTTGATATAATGGGCATTCTGAACGCGCCGCCCGCGCGCCAGCGGCCGCGCTCATACAAATAACATAATATTATACTATCGTCGCACACAAACGCGCAGCGGCGTGTCCGCACGATACGTATTATAATATTATGTATAAGACTCGACGTGTAAGCGGTGGCCACACAACAATGAATACCGTTCGCCGCCGCGGCCGACTCGCGTTGCAGCACCGTGTGTGCCGCCGCCGCCGCTGCAGTGTGTTGCGGCGGCGTACTCGTGTATATAATATTATTGTGCTATTGCGCACACCGCGGCCTGCAGTGATGTATACGACGTGTCGGGCTTGTTAGTCTTTTGACTTTACACCTTGTCCCTGGATGCCGGGCGGCAGGTGGTGCCGGTGTCGGCAAATACACTTTCTACCAGGGTGGTTCTTTTATACTGTTGTTATTATATTATTATTATTATTATTATTATTGTAGAAACGTATTTTTGTCAAATTATTATTTTGACGTAAAATAAACCAATGATTTAGCACATCCCTTTGTCCGCACAAGACCGTGTGTGGCTGATGTGTTATAAGTATATATTTTATGTTGTGTTGCGGGAAGGAGACCGCTAATTTCAACGATCAAGTTGAAAATACGTATCTTTTAAATCTATTATTTCCGACTTTTTAGGCCTCTTTTATCGTCCGACGCGTACTGCAGTCTAACGAGTATTTTACCTAACCTACCTACTTATATATGTTGTGTTATACAAACACTACTTAATATACTTTGTATCGTTGTATCTCAGTTATATCAATACGTTAAATCTAAATATGTATTTCAAGTAGGTACCTAATGCAGCCTACACACGTTTTAAATTTAATTTATAAACCTTGTACACGATAAATGATATAAGTGTTATAAATTTATTGTAAACGGTTCATTTATAAATTATGTATAAACAAACGAGGTGAGGTGCAATATTTTTTGTCGTCTTGACTTCGCAGTTGAACATTAAGAATGAAATATACGTGTAACTCGCGTTAAGCTGTTAAATTAAATTTTAAATTATTATGAGCATAAAATATGTTTCTGGAAATATATCTTTTTATACCCAATAAAAAAGCATACATGTATGTTACGCTATAAGTGTAGGTAGGTATAGTGAATTCATTTTTCAAACATCATAAAAATTTGTCAAAAATCTCGGTATATTATGTTATGTATATATGCGGGAAATGTGTACAATGTACCGACAACACATAATGTGTACTATTATAAAAAAATAAGGTCGTTTTCTCCTTCTAGAATTCATCGAACAAAATTCACTATCGATTTCACCAAGAACTCGTTTTTGTATTTTTTTTTTTTTTTTTACCTTACCTCAGCATATTTCTTTAACAAAAACATACATATTGATATGGTACGTATAGGTAATACACCCGGCAAGTATGCCCAGCCGACCTTTTAATTCGTGCGTACTTACACAGAATTTAGGATTTGTTTATGTATAAAAAACGAACAGATATGGGATCTCTGTCTACTAGTGTTGAGCAAAAAACAAAAAAACAACGAAAAAAACGGTTGAAAAAAAAAGTACCGTGTGGCGCGAAACGGGAGACTCAATTGTCCGTGTATATAATAAATATTATTGAGTGTGGCGCGCGGTCGTAAACTATACACATAATAGCGGTATCTATAGTGTTGTGTACGCGTGGTGCCGTCAAAATCAATTTCCTAAAAAAAAAAAAAAACAACTACACACAACACGTATTATACAGGGTGAAACGTAGGGAAAAAAAACCAGAAATAAAAATAATAATAAAAAAAAAATATATATATATATATATATTATATACGTTGTTCTTCCTATCGTTTACACACGATCCCGAGGGGGGGTCATAATCGAATAATATTATTACTATTATACAGGAGATTATATTATATAC